CCATGCCCAGCTAATTTTTTGTAGCTTTAGTAGAGACGGGGTTTCAACGTGTTGACCAGGATGGTCTTGATCTCTTGACCTCGTGATCCACCCGCCTCGGCCTCCCACAGTGCTGGGATTACATGCTTGAGCCACCGCGCCCGGCTTAGCAATTTCTTTAAAAATTAAACAACAGGACAGGCAGGGTGGCTCACACCTGTAATCCCAGCACTTTGGGAGACCGAGGTGAGCAGATCACCTGAGATCAGGAGTTCAAGACCAGTCTGGCCAACATGGCGAAACCCCATCTCTACCAAAAATACAAAATTAGCTGCGCGTGGTGGTGCACACCTGTAATCCCAGCTACTCGGGAGGCTGAGGCAGGAGAATCACTTGAACCTGGGAGGCAGAGGTAGCAATGAGTCGAGACTGGGCCACTGCACTCCAGTGTGAGTGACGGAGCGATACTCCATTTCAAGATAAATAAACAAACACTTACCTACGACTCAGTCCTTCCACTCCAAAGTATTTACCCACAAGAAATCATAGAAAACATTCAACAGGCTGGGCGAGGTGGCTCACGCCTGTCATCCCATCACTTTGGGAGGCCAAGGTGGGCAGATCACCTGAGCTGGGAGTTTGAGACCAGCCTGACCAACATGGAGAAACCCTGTCTCTACTAAAAATACAAAAAAAAAAAAAAAAAAAAAAAAGCCGGGCATGGTGGTGCACACCTGTGATCCCAGCTACGAAGAGGCTGAGGCAGGAGAATCACTTGAACCTGCGAGATGGCGGTTGCGGTGAGCCGAGACTGCACCATTGCACTCCAGCCTGGGCAACGAGCAAAACTGAGTCTTAAAAAAAAAAAAAAAAAATATATATATATATATATATATATATATATCTCCAACAAAGACAGGTACATGAATGTTCATAGCAGCTTTATTTGTAATACTTCAAAACTGGACATGGTCCAGATGTCCATCAGCAGGTGAATAAAACTGTGGTGCATCCAAACAATGGAATACTACTGGGCAATAAAAAGGAATAAACTATTAACACATGCAACAGAGATGACTTGCAAATCCTTATGCTCAGCTAAGCAAGAAGCCAGACAAAACACAAGGACATACTGTATGATTCTATTTACATACATTCTAGAAAGTGCAAATTAACCTATAGTGACAGAAAGCAGCACAGTTGTTACTTGGTGATGGGAAGCAGGAGGAGCAGGAGGGCGGGCTTAGCAAGGGCAGGGGAAACTTTCCAGAGTGAGGGGGATGTTGGTTATCTGACTGTGGAAATGGCTTCACAGGTGTACACGTATGTCAGTCATCAAATACACATTTTTAATATATGCAGCTTACTGTACGCCAATTATACCTCAATAAAGCTGTCTTTCAACAGTACACACTCGAAGGCAGCAGCTGCAAGGCGGTAACTGCAGAGTTACTTGGACAGACACTGCAGTGATTCCTCTCGACTTGTTTTCATCATCTAGGAGTGTCCTGTTAAGTTTTCGGTTTTGTTTTTCAAGCAAGTTCTATTTTTTTCTGAGATTACTTTTAAATATTTACAACTTTTTTCCTTTTTTTCTTCCTTTTGAGACAGGCTGTCAGCCAGGCTGGAGTGCAGTATCAAGATCATAGCTCACTGCAGCCTTGAACTCCCATGCTCCAGCAATCCTCCACTTCAGCCTCCAGAGTAGCTGGGACTGCAGGCGAGTGCCACCATGCACAGCTAATTGTTGTATTTTTTTGTAGAGACAGGGTTTTGTTGTGTTGCCCAGACTGGTCTAGACTCCCGGGCTCAAGGGATCTGCCTGCCTCAGGTTCCCAAAGTGCTGGAACTACAGGTGTTAACCACCATGCCCAAACTAAATTTTATGGCATAATATTTGATACATACAAAAGGATGTGTGGCACCTGATGTGAGTTAGGAACAGAGTTATAAATGAAAAACCCATGAACCTACCACGGAACCTGAGAGCTATGACGTTACCAACACCTTCACAAACTCCTGGGCCCCCTCCTTATCCCACCCCACATTCCTCTCAGGGATCCCCATCTCAGATTTTGTGCTTTTCCTTCTTTTGATTTTTAGTAGAGTTGTATCTTGTGCGTGTATTGCTAAACAATAGATGGTTTCCTCTTGTTTTTGAGCATTGCAAAATGCTATCATTCTGTCCATAGAAGTACCGTTTTAGTTTACCTCTAAGATTCATCTATGTTATTGCATTATGTCTATTACAGTAGTTCTGATTCTCCCAACAGCCCTGCAGTTGGCTTAGGATATGGTAAACCTATGGAAAGTAAGGCTCAGCGAGGTGGGTTGGCTCACCCAGTCCAAGGGCAGACTGCAGGGACTCCTCTTCACCACATCCTTTACTCATGAGGGTCTCCTGCGCACCAGCAGTGAGCAGGTGCTGGACATGCCACAGGGAACACAGCAGATCCTCCGCCACCCAAAGCACACATCACAGCGCTGCCCTTGACTCTACCACCAGGACGACTCCGGGTCCAGGCCAGTTACCTGAACATCCTGGGGGGGGACCATGTCCCTTCTATTTGTCCTCAAGAATGATGCTTGGTCTGACCCTCTCACAGGTCTCTGCTCATAGAGGGCAACTGGACAGTAGCTATCAGCACGACAGATGCAGCCACCACTGACTCAGTAAGGCTCTTTCCAGGAATTTATCCTCTAGAAATGCTTCAATATGTACAGAGGGACACTGGCATAAGAATATTTATTGCAGCGTTGTTTGTAATATCAAAGTAGTAAAATCAACTCAAATTTCCACCAATAGGGATCTCACTGCAGGTCATTAACATACGTTATGGGAAACATACACAGTGGAGTACCACTAGCTGTAAAAAATAATTTTTTTAAAAGGAGATTTTTCATAACACAAAACTCTCCAGAATATATATATATATTTTCTGGGTGCATGTGACAATTTAATACATTCATATTCTCCAGGATATATACATAATTTTTTTTTTTTTGAGATGGAGTCTCGAACTATCGCCTGAGCTGGAGTGCAGTGGCACGATCTTGGTTAACTGCAACCTCTGCCTCCCGGTTCAATCGATTCTCTTGCTTCAGCCCCCCCCAAGTAGCTGGGATTACAGCTGTGCACCACCATGCCTAGCTAATTTTTTGTATTTTTAGTAGAGATGGGGTTTCACCATGTTGACCAGGCTGGTCTCAAACTCCTGACCTTGTGATTTGCCTGCCTCAGCCTCCCAAAAGCTGGGATTACAGGTGTGAGCCACCATGTCCAGCCCCCCAGGATGCATTTTTAAAGGGCAAGTTCAGTACAATATATGGAATATGTTACTATGTGTATTAAAAATTGCAAAGAATAAAATACACTAAATTGCTTAAATACACATAAATACTTCTAGAAGGGTTCATAAGTAACTGGGACCAGGGTGGCCGGGGACAGGGGTAAGAGGGAGACTCTTCATTATATCTCTGCTATATTTAAGAAAATATGTACCATGGGCAAAGTTTACCCATTTAAAAATACATAAATAAAATTTATAAAGTGTTAGTCTCTCAGTGCATATTCTCTGGCTTCCTGGCCTTTCTTTGCTCTTGGCCTGCCTTTGCTGGCAACAAACGTTTTACAGGAGGCCACCACCGTGGCAGTTTACATTCTGCAGTCCAAAGCCCCTTTCCAGACTGAATCTGAGGGCCCGGAGGATCCGCCACAAGGAGGCGCTGTCTGCTGCCGGCTGCTCAGTGGGCGAAAAGCCAGCCCTTCCCAGGGTGCCTTCGGTCAGCGGCCATTGCTGAGGGGGAGCTCACCTCCCTGTCCCCGCTCACCCTACCTGGGTCCCAACATTCCTCCAAGAAGTCTGTAGAACTGGAAGTTAGGAATTCACTTTGTATCCCTGTTACCACCACCCCCAATTTGGAAGGTGCTCCTCACCCTCCCTGGGGCTCACGGGAACATGGTGTGAATGTCTGCTGTGGAGAGATGCATTCCCTCCCCTGGGCTGGCTCCCCATTCCTGCCAAGAAACCCTCCCAGTCACTGGCTGGAGTCAGAACAATTGGAGCTCTGCTAGAGGGTGAATGAGGGGACAGTGTGACACCCTGGGAGCCACTGAGCCTCCTCCCATGGCTGCCACCCACCCACTGCCCACCACACCACTCACTTCACAAGTCCTTCCTGCTGCCCGCCAGGTGCAAAATTCTTCCTCTAATACTGCCTTGAATGTCGGGGTGACGATGGGGCCTTTGTTCCAGCTGTTACCCCCACCCTGCCTCCACTTTCGGGCCCCCCAACTGTGGGCCCTCAAGGCAGCTCCCATCCTGCCTCCCGGGCCTCAGCTGCCCAAAGGCTCAGGGCAAGAGCGCTGGCCAGTGCCTGGGGCAACAGGGGATGCCTGGCCTTGGGGACCCTGGGGTTCGGAGCTGGGGGAGACAGGAGATGGCCATGCCAAGATGCAGGCTCCAGCAAGGAGGACGCCCCTGCCCAGAGGTGGGTCCATTTCTCGTAGTGATCCCAGGGCCTGGCACTGAGGCAGCCCTCAGGAGTATCTGTTACCCGGACACATGCTATCATCTGATGTTCCTGGCCTAGTATCTGGGCAGTAGGTGGAGACAGGGGATGCAGGTCATGCAGGTTACCCCCACGGGCAGCAGCCTCTCTGGGACTGGAGGGAACAGCCCTCAGGGGGTCCCTCCTGGGCCCTTCCAGGGGCCACCCAGTGAGATCCTCGGTGGGGCAAGGGTGCCCTGGATTAGAGTTCCTTTGTTGGTGCCCCCCATCTGCATGAGTCCTTGGGGTGCCAAACTACAGCGGAGGCCTCTAACGACAAAGCAGAGGGTCAGCTCTGAGCAAGGGTACAGGGAAGGCACAGTGCCCCTGGGATGGCTGCTGGGAACCATGGCCTCCTGTCACCTTACCTGGCTTCCCCAAAACCCCAGGGGCCCTGCCCTTCTGAGGTGCCCACAGAAAGGGAGGGAGAGAGGGAGGGAAGGAGGTGGGAGAGGAGGTGGGAGAGGAGGTGGGTTCACTCCCCCGACCCGGAGGGACCAGAGGAGTAAAACAAACAGCTTTAATACCAATATAGTTCTCTCTTAAATACCATGTTCCCCAGGAGAGATGCAGGGGCAGGCTCTTGGCAGAAAGAGTAGAAAGGAAATGTGGAACAAAATGGAATGGATGGCCCAGGGCCCCTGCCTTGGGCACTAGGGACTGGGCTGCCTCAGGGAAGGGGGAGTGACAGCAGCTCCCCCTGGTCCAGTTATTGCAGAGGCGTAGGGGTGGCTCCCCTCCCTCCCCAGGCCTGAAACATTTCTCAGGATTAATTCTGCCCTTCAGCCCCGGCAGGGCTGGGGCCTGGGCGTCTCTGGTCTGGGATGGGCCCCTTTGTTCAAAAGGGCCTGCAGCTAAGGCATGGGGTGGGGAGCCCCTGGCCAGGCCCGCTGCTCTCAGTAGGTGCTCTGGTGGCCTGTGAGGATGTAGAGGTTGCTGTGCGCCCCTGGGTTGTCAGTGGGAATGCTCTCCAGGATGATGTCTCTGGAGGAGAGAGGAGTAGGGGGCAGGGCGGGAGACGCTTGGCACATCAGCCCCTTCTCTGGCTTCAGGGGCATCTGAAGGGGAGGCTGGGGTGCCACCGCCTACCTGTGGGCCCCAAGCACTCGGAAGATCCTTGTTTCATCTGTGATCTCCTGGGTCACCTGGGAAGATGGTGGGGGGCACTGAGGTCACTCCAATAGGTCCTTTCCAAAGAGGTGGGGACCACAAGGCAGGGGACAGCCAGGTCCCTGGCCCCACTCACCTCGTTGGTGTCCAGGCTGCGGCCTTGCATCCCATGGCTCCAGAAGGCCAGCACACTGTCCTGCAGGCACACTATGGGGCCAGGCCACCATCAGCCCTGCACCCGTCCTGGATCCCCCTCAGCCACTCCTGGGTCTGGGTCTGGGCCACAGCGGTCCTCACAGACCTCAGGTGACCAGGATGGCTCAGGAGAGGGGCTGGGGGATCTGTCTCCTCGTCCCACCGCCAGGCCCAGGCCCCCGAGCCACAATGTGCTCCAGGCCAGGGAAAGGCCCGCACACCACCTCTGGCTCACTCACCCACAGTCTCGATGGGGAAGTCAAAGGTCAGCTCAGGCGCCAGTGTGGCCGTGGGCTCACCCTGCATGTTGACAATCCTCACGCAGCCTGCACAGGGAGGGGACTGGTGGGTGGGGACGGGGTGGCTTCCTTCTGGAAAGGCAGACCCACACGGTCCCCTCACCTCCATCCTCCCCTGCCCCCAGGGCACTCACGTTCAAAGCTGACTAGGACCGTGTCCCTGTCCACCTGGATCACCTGCTGGGCCGAGCCTGGGATCCCCTCTGCAGGCAGAGAAGAGAGACACGGCCTGGCTGAGCCACCAGTCCCCCCGGCCCCAAGAGGACATGGGGGACAGGCTATTGGCTATGTGGGCACATCAGCTTCACAACAGCCCTGTGGGGCTGGGAAACCTCATCTCACTCCTGGGCTGGAAACTGAGGCTCTGAGAGGATGTGTGACCCGTCCTGGGGCTCGTGGGGAGTGGGGGGGAGTCACAGGGAGCCACAGGAGGGCTCCAGATTTAGGGGAACCAGGCCTCATGACCCAGTCACTGTGTGACCTGGAACAAGTCACTTTAGCTCTCAGAGCCTCCGTTTCCTCATAACACAGGCAAGATGGCACTGCCTAGAGGGGCTACCATGAGGATCAATAATAAAATCTTGGGCCAGGCGAGGTGCCTCACGCCTGCAATCCCAGCACTGTGGGAGGCCAAAGTGGACAGATCGCCTGAGGGCAGGCATTTGAGACCAGCCTGGCCAACAAGGCGAAACCCTGTCTCTACTAATAATATAAAAATTTTCTGGCTGGGCGTGGTGGCTCACACCTGTAATCCTAGCACTTTGGGAGGCCAAGGTGGGTGGATCACCTGAGGTCAGGAGTTCAAGACCAGCCTGGCCATCATGGTGAAATCCCATCTTTTAAAAAAAAAAAAAAAAAAAAAAAATTTTCTTTTGTCCCACAGGGTAAATAAAAGAAAAAAAAATTAGCCGGGCATGGTGGCGCATGCCTATAGTCCCAGCTACTCAGGAGGCTGAGGCAGGAGAATCCCTTGAACCCGGGAGGCGAAGGTTGCAGTGAGCCGATATCATGCCATTGCACTCCAGCCTGAGCAACAGAGCAAGACTCTGTCTCAAAAAAAAAAAGAAAGAATAAAACCCTGTGTGTGAGACCCCGGGCTCAGGACCTGACACTAGGTGCCTTATCCCCATGCGCCCTCCCAACTCCCTTACCCATCGCTACCCACTATTGCCCTGAGCTGCCACAACACCTAGAGTCCTGCTTCTTGGCTCAGAATGGGGCCCCCAGGCCCTGCCTTGCCAGATCTGACCCTTCCCTGCTGCCCAAAGCAATGTTGACCAGGTTGGTTTTGTTTGTTTTTTGAGATGGGGTTTCTTCATGTTGGCCAGGCTGGTCTCAAACTCCCTACCCCAGGTGATCCGCCCACCTCGGCCTCCCAAAGCGCTGGGATTACAGGCATGAGCCACCACGACCAGCCCTATTTTTTTTTCTGAGACGCTCTGTCACCCAGGCTGGAGTGCAGTGGCACTGCAGCCTCTGCCTCCCAGGCTCAAGTGATCCTCCCACCTCAGACCAAGGATATGGGACCACAGGTGTGCACCAATGTGCCCGGCACATTTTAAAAATTTTTCGTAGAGTCAAGGTCTCTCCATGTTGTCCAGGCTGGTCTCAAACTCATGAGCTCAAGCCCCCCTCTCTCCCTGGCCTCCCAAAGTGCTGGGATGACAGTGCTGGGAGGACAGGAGTGAGCCCCATGCCCAGCCTGGCCAGGATTTTCTTAGCTGCCAAGCCCTGTGGGCTAATGAACCCTTTTACAGAAGCGCAGGTGAAGCCTGATGAAGGGGGCCTGGGGGACCCCACCCCCACATGGCAGCCCTCAAGGTCTCTGTGGAGCCATCAGCTGTGGGGATCCTAGTCTGGGAGCCTCGGTCCTCCCTCCCTGCCTCCTTCCCCGGTCCCTCATGCAAGCACATCCACCCCCAGCAGCCTGGCCCTCCTGCTCACCAGGTGGGACGAGGATGTCAGGTGTCAGCCCAGCCTCCAGGGGCAGGACATGGAACAGGACTCGGCAGCCGGGCCCCTCAGGCCCCTCAGCCCCCACACACACCTGCGGCAGCTCCTTCCCATCCAGCACCAGTGGCTCCAGCATCCCAGCCGGGGTGGGCAGGGGGCTGGAGAAGTTCTAGGGGGCAGCAGAGATGCTCAAGTCTCCATTTTTCCCTGCAGAGCTCGAGGGTGCCCTGGGCCTCCCTGCACCGCCCCTCACCTTCAGCAGCAGGAACTTCTGCAGCGGCTCATACCACTGCAGCAGGAGCAGGCTGGCAGGCAGGGCGGCCAGCAGGAAGGTGGCGCCCGTGTAGGGGTTCCGCACTGGCAGGGGAGCAGGCAGTGGGCACCGGGCTGGGCCTGCGCGGCCCCCCACTAGGCCCCGCCCCACCTGCCCGTCCCATTTCTTACCCACACGACACTGCAAGCAGCCTTTGGTGTCAGGAATCTTGGTGGACAGGGCAAAGCGCCTGTGGGGGTAACAACCAAGGCATGTGTCCAGGGTGCCATCCACAGGCAAGGCCCCTGCAGGGCCCTATGAAGGACACTATCATCTTCCCTCTTTACAAGTAAGGGACTGATTCTCAGGAGACACAAAGTAACCTGCCCCAAGAGCAGCTGGAAAGGGAGGAGGATCTGAAGCCAGTGCCCCAGCCCTGCAACCGGAAGAGTGTCTCCATCCAGGACAGGGGTTTGGGTCTTAGAATTGCTTCTAGCTCTGTGTGACTTCAGGCAAGCCACTTAACCTCTTCGTGCCTCAGTTTCCTTGTCTGTGGATTGAGGAAACCCACTCCTGAAACCTTTACAGGGGAGGTGCTCTCAGCGTGCTAGGAATTGTATGTGCTCACAGAGAGCTAGGTCCTGCCATCCCACATAAGAACTTTCCACCTATTTTGAGTCACTGAAAGTCTTTGTCAGGTGAAGGCAGGGTATAAAGAAATGAAGAAATGAGTGCATGAAGGGGTCGGGGAGAAGGCAGGCTCCAGCCCCACTGGGCTGCAGAGAGTGTGCACAGCCCATTTCACAGACTGGAAAACAGGCCCTGGGCGGTTAATGGGCTTCAAAAGGCAAACGCCCTGCCCTCTGCTTCTCCAGCTGAGCCCTGTGGGGCCAGGCAGTGGCTCACCTTGTTGCCAGGGGAGTAGTAGTAAGGGACAGTCATCAGATGGGCCCTTGCCTTGGTCACTGGGTATCCCCTAGCCCTCCAGGGGACCCTCTGAGCCTGTTTCTTCCTCTGAGGAATGGGGCTTATGTCAGCAGCCCTGCCACCTCCACCCAGTGGCCTGGGTCCTGTCTGCACCTTCTGCCAGGACGTGGAGGAAGCCAATGTCTGTCTCGCACTGTCCCTGGTCCTCGTCCCTCCATCTCCCCACATTCCTCCCACTCTCCTCCCCCACTGGTCTTTGGACGGGACAGAGGTATGTATTTTGTATTTGTTTTTTCTCCAAACAACTCTAGTTCTCTGTTGTTTGCATTCAAAGTGCTCACTGTATCTCTGCCATTTCCCAAACACAGGCTCAAAGCTGCCTGTGACCTGTTGGGGCCCAGATGGGCCTGTTTCCTGCAGGTCCTGGGCCAAAGCAGAGGCTCAGTTGGGGACTGAGCTCAGGAAGCCCCAAGGCCACAGGGTTCCAGATGTGGTCCTAGAGTGAGCACGCTGCAGGAAGGGCCCCCCGAGCTCCCCAGCTGTCACAGCCACTGGCCTGGCCTCCCCTGCCCTCTGCCCCGGCTCCACTGCTTCCTACACCACCCACCTGGTCATGACAATGTCGGAACCACAGCCTAGGGACCCTCTCTTCACAACCCAGCCCCACCCAGCCACGGACTGACGCGGGTCCCACCTGCACGTCTAATAAGCATCTTCATGAAACAAAACTGAATTCGGCTCCCCCTGAAACTGCCCCGCCCCCAGCTGATGACAGCTCCATCCTTCCTGATGCCCAGGCCAAAAACCTTGGAGCCATCCTTGACTCCTCTTTCTCTTCCATCAGGAAATCCTATTGGCTCAACATTCCTTTTTTTTTTTTTTTGTATTTGTAGCAGAGACGGGGTTTCATCCTGTTAACCAGGATGGGCTCGATCTCCTGACCTCATGATCCATATGCCTTGGCTCAACTTTCAAAAGAGAATCACAATATGACTGTTTTTCTCTTCTTTTTTTTTGAGACGGAGTCTTGTTCTGTCACCCAGGCTGGAGTGCAGTGGCACAAACTTGGCTCATTGTAACCTCCGCCTCCCAGGTTCAAACGATTCTCCTGCCTCAGCCTCTCAAGTAGCTGGGACTACAGGCACTCTCTGCCATGCCTGGCTAATTTTTGTATTTTTAGTAGAGACAGGGTTTCACCATGTTGTCTTGAACTCCTGACCTCAGGTGATCCACCCACCTCGGCCTCCTGAAGTGCTGGGACTATAGGCGTGAGCCACCAGCCAATGTGCCCGGCCTCTCTTTTTTTTTTTTTTTTTTTTTTTTTTTCCTGAGATAGGATCTCACTCCATCACCCAGGCTGGAGTGCAGTGGTGCGATCTCGGCTTACTGCAACCTCTGCCTCCCAGGCTCAAGGGATCCTCCCACCTCAGCCTCCTGAGTAGCTGGGACCACAGGCATGCTATCACACCGGGTTAATTTTTGTATTTTTTTTGTAAAGACTGGGGAGATCTCTATGTTGCCAGGCTGGTCTCAAACTCCTGGGCTCAAGTGATCTGCTCGCTTCGGCCTCCCAAAGTGCTGGGATTACAGACAAGAGCCACCATGCCCGGCCTCTGACCAATTTTTCACCTCCATCACTGCTACCCTGGCGCAAACCACCACCACCTCCTGCAGAGTCCTGACGGGACTCCAGTTTCCACCCTCACCTCCTTAACTCTATTCTCTCTTTTTTTCTTTTTTCTTGAGTCGGAGTCTCGCTGTGTTGCCAGGCTGGAGTGCAGTGACATGATCTCGGCTCACTGCAGCCTCCGCCTCCTGGGTTCAAGCGATTCTCCTACCTCAGCCTCCCAAGTAGCTGGTATTACAGGCACATGCAGCCACACCCAGCTTTTTTTTTTTTTTTTTTTTTTAGTAGAGACGGGTTTCACTATGTTGGCCAGAATGGTCTTGCTCTCCTGACCTCATGATCCACCCAACGTGCTGGGATTAAAGGCATGAGATGCCGCACCCAGCCTCTTCACTCCACTCTCAACACAGCAGTCTGAGGGAGCTCCTGAAGGTCTCAACCCACATCACTCCTCTAGAGTGGCCCCCAGGCTGCTCTGAGTCAAGGCTGCACTGTGGCCACAGGGCCCTACCTGATCATCTCCCTCTCCCTCGTTCTGGCCACACTGACTTCCCTGTTGTTCCTTAAACAGGCCAGGCCTACTCCTGCCACTAGGCCTTTGTACGGGCCATCCTCTTGGCAGAGATCCCCTTCCACAGGCATCCAGAGGGCTTGTGCCATCACCTCCTCTAAGTCTTTGCTCAAACAACACTTTTTCAGCAAGGCCTTTCGTGACGCCCCTGTTGAAAACCACAGTCTGCGGTGAGAATGAAGACAGCAAGAGAAAAGCAGAACCAGGAGACGCAGACAGGCACCTGTACTGCCACCGAAGCCTGGACACAGCCGGGCCTGAAGCAAACCCTGATCCTGGATTTTCAGTTCCATGAGTCGTTAAATTCCCTTTTGTGCCTAAGCTAGTGAGTTGAATCACCTACAAGGGAAAGAATCCGGCCAGGCGTGGCGGCTCCCCGCTGTAATCCCAGCACTTTGGGAGGCTGAGGCAGTCAGGTCACTTGAGGTCAGTTTGAGACCAGCCTGGCCAACGTGGAGAAACCCTGTCTCTACTATAAATACAGAAATCAGCCAGGTGTGGTGGCACACACCTGTAATCCCAGCACCTCGGGAGGCTGAGGCAGGAGAATCGCTTGAACCTGGGAGGCGGAGGTTGCAGTGAGCCAAGACTGCGCCACTGTACTACATCTTGAGTGACAGAGCAAGACTCTGTCTCAAAAAAAAAAAAGAAAAGAAAAAACAAAACCCAGAAAGAATTCTGATCAGCATGCACAGGGGTCCCTTTAAAATCCTGGGCCAGCATCGAAGGCAGGAAGACAGGGCTCTGCACCATCGCAGCTTCCGCCTGGGCTGCCCCGCCTCCTCCCTCAGGCCAACTCTGCAGTGGCGCCATCTCGGCTCACTGCGACTTCTGCCTCCCAGGTTCAAGCAATTCTCCTGCCTCAGCCTCCCAAGTAGCAGGGATTACAGGCCTGTGCCACCATACCCAGCTAATTGTTATATTTTTGGTAGAGACAGGGTTTCACCATGTTGGTCAGGCTGGTCTCGAACTCCTGATCTGCTCGTCTCGGCCTCCCCACAAATTGCTGGGATTACAGGTGTGAGCCACTGTGCCCAGACCTCAGGCAAACTCTTAGAGCTCCCGAGCTCACCAGGCTGCTCTGTCCCAGCAGATACCAACATATACCCACTCTTCCACCCACCTGGAATGCCATACCCTACCTCTCTGCCTAGAAATTCTGACACTTCCAAACCTGCCACACTTGCCCAGTCTCTCTGAGGCCTCTCCACCTGCTCCCAGCTCTCCTTCTAATTGGACCTCAATACCAGGTGCTAACTGTCCACATTTCTCTCTCTTTTTTTCTTTTTTTGAGACAGAGTTTTGCTCTTGTTGCCCAGGCTGCCAGGCTGGAGTGAAATGGCATGATCTCGGCTCACTGCAACCTCTACCTCCTGGGTTCAAGGGACTCTCCTGCCTCAGCCTCCTGAGTAGCTGGGATTACAGGCATGCAGTACCACGCTCTGCTAATTTTTTTTGTATTTTTAGTAGAGACAGGGTTTCTCCGTGTTGGTCAGACTGGTCTCGAACTCCCGACCTCAGGCGATCCACCCGCCTCAGACTCCCAAAGCGCTGTGATTATAGGCGTGAGCCACTGTGCCCAGCCTCTTTTTTTTTTTTTGAGACAGGGTCTTGCTCTGTTGCCCAGGCTTCAGTGCAGTGGTGCCATCGCAGTTCACTTCAACCTCAACCTCCTGGGCTCAAACAATCCTCACACCTCAGTCTCCTGAGTTGCTGGGACCACCGGCACAGAGCGCTGTGCCCGGGGCCACCGTGCTCAGCTAATGTTTTGATTTTTTTTGTAGAGACAAGATCTCCCTATGTTTTTAGGCTGATCTCAAACACATGGCCTCAAACAGTCCTTCTGTCTCAGATGCAGGATTGGGATTACAGGCGTGAGCCACCACACCCAGCCCCGCATCTCCCCAATTTCTTGAAAGGAAGGACTCATGGGATTCTCCATGTCCCAAAGCCCAGCATGGAGGCCAATAACACAAGTGCTCAGTAAATGTTTCCTTAACTGTCAAGCCCCACATCTGAACAACCGCAGCTCCCACAACCTGGAAAGCCCTTTCACATACACTATCTCCTTGCCTCCCAACCAGCAGGGAGGAGGGGGTGGGAAGGCTATCAATTGTATCGACAGAGGAGGAAACGGGGGCTCAGAGAAGCGAAGTAACATGTCTAAGATCGCTGCAATCCCAGGAACTGGCAAGGCCGTGTTCCAGCCCCTCCCTGCCCTTCTGCTGCCGGCTCCCCGCACTCCCAGGGTTCCTGACCTGGGGATGATGCGCTGGGTGAGGCGGTTGGTAGGGATGGAAAGGGGAGCCTGTTGCTGTAGTCTCCGCTGCTCAAACAGGCCTGGGAGGTCATGGGCCCAGATGTGCGTGGACTTTCCTGCAGAGAAGGGGAGACGCCGGGGCCTGGGGCGTTGGTGGGCAGGATGCTGAGGCGCTGGAGCCCCTTCGGGCCCCACCTCCCTGCCCATCCCACCTCGTACCTGAGAGTGACAGCAGCACGTTGTTCACGCAGTAGAGCCAGGAGCAGCGGTGTGAAATCAGCTGGAGGCAACAGAGGGACAGGCAGTCAGCACCCCAGGCCTCCCAAGGCCTCTGCGTCCCCCGAAGCCAGCTGGGCCTCACCTTCTCCAGCGTATCCTCATGCAGTTCATGCAGGTTGAGAGTGTAGATGCCTTCCTCGGCCCCCACCACCAGGAACTGGTCTGTGGGTTTGGGCATGGGGTCAGAGGTCAGACCTGCCCCCCCTTGGCCCAAACTGAGGGTTTCCCAGGGTTCCTGCTTCCTCCCTGTCCCAGCCTACCCCGAGTCACAGGGTGAATCCAGGTGACAGCAGCGTGGATCCGCAGAGGGCAGCCGTTGAAGACCTTGGAGAAGCAGGCACCCATCTGTGGAGGAGTCAGGAGGCTGGTGAGGGGGTGCAGGGGCAGGGGGTGGCAGGGCTGTGGGACTGCAGGGCTGGGGGCACTTACGTGCACCTTGGGCGTTGGGGGGAGCCCGTGGCAGGATGACCTCTGGGAGGGAGGGAGGGAGTCAGGGCTGATGTGATAGCCATGGCCACCCATCTCCCCATGCCCCTTAGCACCCCCTCACCTCAGGATCCTCCCGCTGCTTCATGGTGGCCCAGGCCGTGGGCAGCAGTGGGGGGCTGCTGGGGCCTGGAGGAGGTGGGGGCAAGGTTCCTGCAGGCACAGGTGTGCTGTGATTTTCTGCTGCAGCCCTACTCTAGGCCTGCCTCTTGGCCTCCCAAGCCTGGGACTCACCTTGGGGACTAGACAGAGGCTCCTCAGCTGGAGGCTCAGGGGGCAGTGGCCCCAGGAACGGGGCCCGCTTGATGGTTCCCATGGCATCATCTGGGGAGTCCAGCTCCTGGCAGGAGGGGCAGGACCCGGTCTGGCCGTTAGCAGGTTGTCCTGTGACCGCATCCCACTCCAATCGCACCCTCTGCAACGGCCTGGATCCCAGCTCCAGCCTCTCTCCATGTGGCACCTGGAATTCTGAGGCTGATCGGATGGTCAGGCTCCTGGGGGAGGGAGACGAGGCATGAGGCGTGAGGTGTGACTGGTGCTGAGGCTGCCTGCCCTTTGCCCCTCCACCAGGCCCACACCCCTCACCTTTCCTCCAGGGCTTCCTGGACCGACTGCAGCAGGCTCCTGGGCAGTGGGGCAGAAGGGTCAGAGGTAAGCCTTATTTTTTTTTTTCTTGAGACGGAGTTTTGCTCTTGTTGCCCAGGCTGCAGTGCAATGGTGCAATCTTGGCTCACTGCAACCTCCGCCTCCCAGGTTTAAGCAATTCTCCTGTCTCAGCCTCTCAAGTAGCTGGGATTTTACAGGCGTGGGCCACCATGCCCAGCTAATTTTTGTATTTTTATTTATTCATTTATTTTTGAGATGGAGTCTTGCTCTGGTGCCTAGGCTGGAGTGCATTGGCGCGATCTCAGCTAACACACTCTGCCTCCTGAGTTCAAGCGATTCTCCTGACTCAGCTTCCCAAGTAGCTAGAATTACAGGCGTGAGCCACCACACCTAATTTTTTGTATTTTTAGTAGAGATGGGGTTTCACCATGTTGGCCAGGTTGGTCTCAAACTCCTGACCTTGTGATCCTCCTGCCTCAGCTTCCTAAACTGTTGGGATTACAGGCCCCGCCTAATTTTTTTATTTTTAGTAGAGATGGGGCTTCACCATATTGGCCAAGCTGGTCTTAAACTCCTGACCTCGGATGATCCACCCATCTCAGCCTCCCAAACTGCTTGGATTACAGCCATGAGCCACTGTGCCCGGTCAGAGGTCAGGGTTTCTGCCACCCCAGCCGCCCCTGCAAACTTCCCCACCCCTACTTACCCACTCAGCTCTTCCTTTCCCAATAGTGTCCACTCTTCCTCCCACTGGGGCAAACCAAGGCAGAGAGACCAGGAGAGAAGCAGAGACAGAGGCAATGTGAGAGGGTGGTCAAGAGATTCAGAAGAAAAAAGACAGACAGGAAAAGTGAGATGGAAACACGCAGGAGACGAAAGAGACAGACGGTCGGAGGCAGAGCCCAAGAGACGGTGAAAGAAAGCGCAGAGACAGTGAGGGAGGAAGAGACAGGCTGGGGGGCGAGGAGAGGCGGGGACAGAGCCTCTGAGGGCAGAGATGGTGAGTCAGACCACCGGGGACACACAGGTGGGAAAACAAGGCTGAGCAGGGTAGCGTAGGGACTCAGACACACAACGGCCTCCTTGTGGGAAAGGAAGAGTCTCTGTGCTACCTTCCAGCCAGCCACCTAAAAGAACCTGGCCCAGGAAGGAGCCCCCAGCCTCCAGGTCCCTGGGTAAGACAAGCCTGCTTGGACAGTCCAAGGCCCAAAGCCTGAGGCTCCCCAGCTTCAAAGCTCCCTTGATTTGAGCTGCTCGGCCTCAATCTGACCTCCCTGCCCTACCCCTGGGCACCACCTTCCCCTCATGACCTGCCCACTCACCGGCTCATTCAGTGGGTCGGTTTCCTTCCTGCGTGGGGCGCCAAATTTCACCTGGTGAACTGGGGGGGTCCAGAGGTCAGGGGTTAAGTGGCTGTAATCTTAGGATGGGGCCCTACTCTCATACCAAATCTGTACACACACAGCCCCCCCCCAATCTGCACACGAACAGTCCCTGCTGCAGACTCACACTGGATCTCCGAGGGGGTCCTCTCAGCTGGGCCGTGCTGCCCCCGGGAGTGAATGGTGTCTGGAAACATGTCGTAGGTCTAAGAAAGAACAGAAATGGGCCGGGCGTGGTGGCTCACACCTGTAATCCAAGCACTTTGGAGGCCAAGGCGGGGAGATTGCCTGAGGTCAGGAGTTCAAGACCAGCCTGACCAACGTGGTGAAACCCCCTCTTTAAAAAAAAAAAAAAAAAAAAAGAAGAAAGAATAGAAATGGTGCGGGCACACCTGGCACGCGCCTCACGCCAGGGCTGCTGGAGGAGCTTCACACGCACCAACGCATTCTGCTTTCACGATATCCCTCTGGGACTATTGTAAAATAAAATGGAACCCCACTTCACAGATAAGAGAACCTGAACAGAGAGGTGCCGAAGATCACACAGAAAGCAAGAAAATGGCACAGTCATGGTCATGATGAGCATGGGCTCAAGGGCAGGGACCGATCAATGGGGAGGTACAGGGAGCAAGACTCAGCATGGCAGAAACTCCTAATGGGAGGGCTCAACCAAGGCCAGCTCCCTGAGCTGGAATGGCACCAGTTAATGGGACCTCCACCAACATCACCCTTGGGCTCCTTCTAACCAGATCAGCCCAAGACTTACCTCCCAGTCCCCCTCACCTACCTCTAGCTCACAGTCCTCAGGGGAGGGAGTCCCCAGATGAGGGTCACTGGCTTTGTCCAGCAGCTGTGTGAGGAGGGCCCGAGGGAGCTGCTGGGTGGTGAATGGGTGCTGGAAAGTGGGGGAGGGGGTGATCAGGTTGGCCCCTGATCCAGCGCCCTGCTTTTGAGCAGCACTGCGCCCTCACCCAGCCCCCTGCCTCCCACCTGCAGGAGCTTCTCTGCTGTAGGCCTCTTCTTGGGATTTTTGGTCAGGGCCAGCTTGAGGAAGTGGTGGAAATTCTGGGTCCTAGTGGGCACAAGAACCGCCCCCCAGCCCAATATCCAGGTTAACCCTCGTGGAGGGTGTCCTGCCAGCTGCCCCACCACCCCTCCAGAAGTGTCTGCTGGGCCTACTCAGGAAGGAGCCAGCCGAGGCCGAGGGCCACTGGCCGAGCAATGCTGCCTTGTGACATGGCTGCTCCTCCACCAAACTGCCGCCCTTCTTTCCTGACCACGCTGGGTCTTCAGCCCACAGGAGGACCAGAGCCCTCACTCAGATGGTCTGTGGTGGCCCAGAGAGGATAGCGCTCTTGGGGCTGCCCACCAGGAGTTGGCAGAGGCTCCCTGTCCACTATGGGTCTGGCAGAAAAAGGGGTCCTGGAGTGGGGTATGGCCCTTACCAGCGAGCCTTATCTCTCAGTTTGGGCGGCTGGAAGCTGCTCTTCGACATGAGCATCAGGGCCCTGCGGAGGGCGTGAGGTCAGGGGCCATGGGCCGCAGGTCAAGGGTCAGGTGAGGGGCACGTGTTGGGCTGACCTCATGGGGTGCAGGTGGAACAGAGGGGGCTGCAGCTCGCCCAGCTCAATGGCGGTGATGCCCAGGGCCCAGACATCACACAGCTCGTTGTAGCCACCTTTGCGCTCCACGGCAGCCACCTCCGGAGCCATCCTAGAGGTGGGGTCACAGATGGGATGCCTGGGTGCCTCTCTGCTATATAGCCCCTGCCCCTCTGCCCCAGGGCACAGCCTCACCAGTAGGGAGTCCCAATGAAAGACCTCCTCTTGGCCACAGACGCTGTCAGCTCGCCTGACACCCCAAAGTCAGCTGTGGGGAGAAACAGCCACTCTCACTGGCCATCTGGCTGCCACTCTCCCTCCCATGCCCGGGGCTCAGATGGGCAGGTGGCCCCGCTCAGCCACAGCTGCTGCAGGCCCTAGGCAAGACCAGGTTCCTCTCCTGAGAGGAGGCAACCACCCTCTAGCCCTGACGGAGTGCCTGGTCCCATGTCAACTCCGTGTAGACCCAACCTCATCCATTTTCCAGCAGGGAGGGAGTACCGTTCCATCTTCTAAGCAGGGAAACTGAGACTCAAGTGGCAAAGTGACTGGCCCAGTGACTCCCAACACTTGAGTCCAGGGTAGCCAAGAAGGGTCCACAGAACCCTCACCCTGACTGTGTCCCCAGGGTACTGACCCAGCTTGACATCTCCCTGGAGAGTGAGGAGAAGGTTGGCTCCCTGTGGGAATGGAGGAGAGAGAATCCCGTCTGGTGCTCCCGAGGGCCTCCTCCTCCCACCCAGGATGCCCTCGGCCAGACGCTTACCTTGATGTCTCTATGGATCTTCCCCTGAGAATGCAGGTGGTGGAGCCCCTGGGGACAAAGAGGAGTCCCTGAAAGCAGCCACCCAGCACTGTCCCACCTCCCCTGAACCCCCTCTCAGGACTGGGGCCCCCCACCCACGCTGCTTCTTCCTCCCCTCTCCCCAAACAGGAAGTGACTGAGCCAAGAGGGAAATGGGCTGCTTCCGGCAACAGGGCTGGGGCCCCTTTCCCCCAGGACCTACAGCCCCTCAGGCTAGCCCCACCCGAGGCCCTCCACCCGCCTCGCTGCTGGTCATCTGGGCTCCGGGCCCACAGCTTCTGGGGACCGGAGGTGTAGGCACCTCACAGGCCCAGCTACCTTCAGTGCCTCTCGGCAGACGTAGGCAATCTGCCGCTCCTCCAGGGGCCCAGTGGCTGAAAGGGAAAGGGAGAGGCTGGCCTGGGGGGCCTGGGGGCCATGCCCACCCTCCTGGGCTACCCTGTGTGGGAAAAGCAGCAGGCACTGTTAAGTGAAAGCAGTGTTGACCATGTTCCCTCCCAGTTTAGTCTAGGATACTGAACCCAGAGATGGACAGCACTTCTCCCAAGGTCACATATACAGAAGTGGAGAGGAGCCCAAGTCCAGGGCCCCGAGTCCCCTCGGGCACCCCAGTGGGGTGGGGGGGGGGGGGGGGAAGGTTGGGGCCGGCTCGGGCCTGGAGCCCTGGCCTCACCATGGTAAATCTCCTGCAGGGAGCCCCCTCCACAGAACTCCATGCAGATCCACAAGCGATCATTCCTGGGGGACAGAGAGCTGGGGTGGGCACACAGCAGGTCATATGGGGGCTGCCTGGGGCCAGGAGGATAAGGCAGCCTCACCTGAGGTAGCTGCCAATGTAGGCCACCACATTGGGGTGGCGGCACTCACGCAGAATGGTGATTTCCTGCTGGAGGGAGCTGATGTCGTCTCCTGGGAAGCACAAAGCATCATGGGGGGTACGCTGGGGTTGCCCTGACTCAGTGCCCCCATCTGCAAAATGGGCACAGAGTGCCTCCCTCCGGGCCAGGCAGGTGCCAGGCGATAGAACCTCCTGGGGCATGCCTCTCAGGGGTCTTCGAAACGTCAACCCTCCGCCCGCACCTCCCGCCCGCGGGCGCTCTGCCCTCCCTCTGGCGCAGAGGCCCAGCCCGGTCCCTCACCTGGGTCTAGCTTGACTATCTTCACGGCGGCCAGCTCGGACGTAACCGTGTCGCGGGCCTGCAGGGGCAGAGGGTGAAGTGGGCTGGGGGGCGGGACCGGGGGCTGGATCCCGCCGCGGGGTGCGGGGCTGGCACCCTTCTCCCGGCTCTCCCGCCCGTCCCGTCGCCCGGCGCACCTTGTAGACGTCGCCATAGGTCCCGGCCCCCACACGCTGCAGCAGCTCGAAGCGGTCCCGCGGGTCCTGCAGGGACACATCCCGCAGCAGCGCCATGGCCCGGCGCCGGGCGGGCCGGCAGGCGGGCAGGCGCGAGCTGCGGAGCCGGCGCGGGCGGCGCGGGGCGGGGCGGGGCGGGCGCCCGTGGCTCTGAGGCCGCGGGGGCGGGGCCGGGGCCCGAGGGCGGGGCAGCGCCGGGGATGCCCCGCCGCCCGGCC